TGTTACCTGTCCTTACTTATCCAGATTCTCATTCAAAGGATCACATTTTATGTTCCTTCAGGGCTGGTTCTTGTAATTTTGCATGCACCAAATTATTAAGGTCATCTTTTGTTTATGCCCTGTGACAAATCAAGTTTGTTGGATATACAAGACTATTTAGTTTAATAGTTATTATTTAGTTTATTTGGGGATTTAGTATTTAATGATTCTTTACTTTTCATAACAAGAGAGTTAAAAGTAATTATTTTAAAGGCAATAGTCATGACAAGTTTGGTAATAGTTGTACATTGTTTGTGTGTGGTTCAATTGTTGTAGTATTGATACTAGAATATTTGGTATTTTTCTTGTTACCTTAAGTGAGTATTGTTACCTTATAGCACCGCCTGCATAGTTTAGAGAAAGTTTGAGGCCTCAGTGAGCAAGGTATAAGTATATACAACCATGTGACTGCAAGTGAAGTAGAGAAAAGGTGAAGTGAAAGTAAAGTTCAATCAGAAAAAAGTTAACTGGCATGTGAGTGACTAGCCAGAATGGGCGATATTTTAAAGTGAGTTTCACAGTTTAACTGTGAAAAGGAGAATAATTTGTCTTGTCAAACGGTGTTCTAAAGTACTTGAACCTGTCTGTGTGGACTTTGGCAAAAAGGAGACAGTTATTTAAAGTTCAAGATACATCTGTGGTACCATAGAGTAACATAAGTGAATCTATTACAGATTGTACAGTAAGAAACAAAGTAGAGAAAAATAGTTCGTCTTGTCAGTTGGATTCTAAAGTAATTGAATCAGCCTGAGTGGACTTTTGACAAGAAAAGAGAATTATTTACAGTTTTAGATATAATTGCAATATCTTATAGTGTAAAGAATTTTTGTACATATGTTTGACTTGTTTTGAATATATATTATTTTAAAACAAGTGGATTGTGTGCTGTCCATTTATTGTTCGAATTTATTGCCAACAAGTCACAGACACCTACTGTAGAAGAATCCCAGCCCACATATACATAAATGCTTGACAATTTTCCTTGGATATTGATCTGACAAAAATAACACATTGGTTTTTATGACTGACATGTCTAGTTTACTGTGAGGTAAAGAATCACTTCAAGAGTAAAAACTGACATTATGGTGTCTTTGGAATTGTATTTGTAGTACTCATTGGAGGACATTCTATGGGCTGATATGCGGATGAATCCCAGTATACTTTTAAACTTCTACTTACATCATTTTGCTGTTTCTTCAGCTTTGGGATTCTGTTTTCCTCTTGTGGTAATATTTTAAGCCAAGTGGAATCCCTAACAGATCAGTTCAATTACACTAAAAAAAGTGTGATGCATTCCATTTCTTGTAATATGAGACTTCTTGTTTACTTGTACTTGTACTGTCTGGACTCGCGTTTTCTTTTTACATCTATGATTTTTGTTGACACTAGTCCACTCTTTGCACTGGTGTTCCAGAAAGGGTAATGCCCTCTTGACAGAATATGGTGGATGATACCTCAGAACATACCTTTTTTCTCCTCCATGTGAATGTCCATTCATAGTATTATGAGACATCAGGCAAGTGACAATTGTTATCTGATGGATTTTAAATAGCTTCAACCAGGATGGTGTACACCAAAAAGTTTCATTTTCATCTTATCATAATTCCTTACATACATTCCATTTATATTATCCTCGAGTTGTTGAGTCCATCCTCAGGAACACCCTCATCTTTTAGACTCTCCCTAGGTTCCTCTTGACTCGGCTGGTTTTGTAACTTTGATGGTCTTTTTAATTTTGAATAATAGGGATTTTAGCTTTAGGAGTACACCTAAGATCTACTTAATAACAGGCCTGCAAATTTAAACTTCATTAAAGCTATTTTCATTTTGATAATGGATTTTCCATAATTTAGCTATGCAGATTTCGAAAATAATATTCATTTTTTTCTATCATGTAAGGATTTTTTTACAAATCTGCCAAAAACAACAACTTACTTACGTCAAATTATTTTTTCGTTTACCACAATGTATAATTAGTCTTCTCTACTGGGAATAAGGTATAAGGTGCTCTGGCTACCTGTCTAGCCACCACTAAGAACATGCATGATGCTTGATCCCCTGTATATTTTTATTTAAAAGGTATCTAGGGTAAAGAGGTACTCTGCTGAGAAGAATGTTTTCCTTCTTAGTGTCTACATTTTTAGTCCAGTTTTTTTTTAGAGGCTAGTCACTCTGGTTTTGGATACTGCTCAGGCTCTTCTTGATCACATCACCAAGGCTGTTGTAGTCTAGGTATGTTACCTTTTCTCTTCTATAGCATAGCATCTAGTGATCTGGTTGTCTTTTATTATGACACTCTTCAGTCCCCTTCTCCTTCTCTACCTGGGGATTCTGTCTTTGTATATTTTAGAGGTAAGTTTATCTCATCTAAATTTCACATTTTTGAAATTAAAATGAATTTCAAACAATTATTTGTCTCTGAAATACATTCACATCTCCCCACAATTGACAGGAACATATTACATTGTCATCATGACAGCAAACAACGAAATTTGGCATGTGGCAGTAAAGTAAGGTTTATGTAGATTCCCCTTGTGTTTGCATAATAAGTTACATGGAAAAGTATAGAGCCTTTGGTAAAGTGACACATGCAATGTGTTACATCAAGGACATTCAGAACCAAAAATCATGAGGGTGCTAACAGATCAGGAACAAATCAACAGTACAAGGCTTACAATATTTCAAAGGTGTGTGTTTGAAATTCAGTTTTAATCTAAAATGTAAAACTTTGCAAGCTCAAATTAAGACTCACTTTTTGTCAGAGCCACTACCCTTATTACAGAATTATGGATTTTTAGAATAGTTTTAGTAATGTTGTGTATACTATTAGCATGATTCTGTATGGACATGTTATTGATATGTGAACGTGATGGGTAAGATGAATATGGGTTAGCTGTTTTGGTATATTTGTTTGGTTACTAGAAAGGTGACTTTGGTTGGTTGAATTGTTTCCTTTTATTTTACTTAGTTGTGTAAATTTTTTGGATATAAGAAAATTTTAACATTTAACAATAGTGTTTTCATCATTTTATAGTTTGATATTTCTTCTTTTTTTTCCAAGGAATAATGTGAGCTCGTCATTACTATTTTTGTACTATCATAGTTGTTGACTGATTAGTGAGATTTTTTTTCCTTTACATATTTTAATCAAATTTTATTAGCTTTTTTTTAACCTACTTTCAACAGCAGCCTTTTTTTTTTTTAATATAGTGGATGTACATTTCACATTTGAGTCACAACTGAATACTTCCTGAACATACTACCTTCTAGGATCTTAATTTAAGTTTTGGTTTCTTTCTGCTAATACAGTCAGAAGAAAATTACCTTTACACTACCAGATAAGAGAACTTTTAATTTTAACTAATGTTTCACCTTTGCGGCCTTTGTAAAGGTGAAACACTGGTTAAAATTAAAAGTTCTCTTATCTGGAGTGTAAAGGTAATTTTCTTCTGACTGTATTAGCAGAAAGAAACCAAAACTTAAATTAAGATCCTAGAAGGTAGTATGTTCAGGAAGTATTCAGTTGTGACTCAAATGTGAAATGTACAT